CCACTCCCACATCAAGACCGTAGATCGTAGTCCTTCAAGAGGTGACCCTGTTTCCACAGAACACTACGGATTAAGACCCGGAGAGTGTCGAATCTTCCCTCTCCCCCTAATCCAGGGTGTCATGCGTTACCGTGCCTATTGGATGGTTTGCAGTCCGACTGTATTCTAACGGCGCCTCCTAGATACCTGTCCGCCTACGGGAATAACGGTGGACTTTCTGTGGCAAGGGCCTCTGCCGTAGTCGACCGTTCTTTTTCCCTTCAACTTTCAACTCATTTTCGCGCACGCCCTGACGGAGGATAAGGACGATGAAACCAAAGAGCAGTTCTAAGAGCACTTAGTGGAAGAATATTAGCGCTGCCCCCGCCACGATGTTAAAATCATGCTGGGCGACAAACGTAAACAATGTGCAAGCGTGCTGAGTAGACGTGTTTTGGACAGTGCGGCAATACCTTGTGCATATATTCGCGTTTTCCACAGTAAACTAATTTAAATAACTCAAACAAAGTCCCGTCCAGGTCAGCCCTTTATTTATCGCACAATTGTGAAAATGTCGTTTTGAAAAGAGCGAAGAAAAGATAAAAATAAACAAATAAATTTGTATATTGTTTTCGCGAGATGAGTTTAACAAGAACAAAAACAGCCCACTAAGCTGCTGTCTCTCCAAAAACTCAGAGTACAAGAAGCGAGAGCCCGCAGTTTAATAACTGGTTTTCACAAATGCAAGTAAAGATGGACCAGCAGAAAGAGAGCATCATCGAACAACTTTCCGAGTGCATGAAGAGATCCGAAGAGCGAGTGATGCAGCGTTTTGGTGAGTTGACGGCTGAAGTTAAAAACTTAAAATTTTGCCATCAAAGAGATCGAAGACCGCGTAGCCAAAGCTGAAGCTGTGTGCGCTTACGTTGAGCAGCTGCGTGTTGATGTGCAAACGTTAAAGTCTAAACCTAATGACGGGAATGAGAGTTCTCGTATTATGCGGCTAAACTCTGAAGTGCATACACTCAAAGCACAACTTGACGAGTGTCAAAATTCTCTTGTCTCGTCTGATGCTATCATAAGAGGTATCCCGCAGGCGAGTGAAGAGAATCTAAGAGATACCTTCTCCAAGCTGTGTAGCGCTGTCAACATGATTGCTCCACCGGCACGTGATATTTTCCGCGTTCCCAATAATGACAACAACAACAGCAAAGCTACGGCAGTTATAGTTAAGCTAGGTTCTGCCAGCGATCGATGTCGACTTCTTAGCGCCGTAACACGTTTCTGCAAGCAGAGTAAGAGACCTATTGCGCTGCGAGACATTGGGCACAAAGCAGACGGGAGAATAGACGTCCACGAGAGCCTCTCCAAGAATAGCCGTGAAGTTCTGCAGTTCGCAATGCAACTCAAAAGAAAACAACAATTGACATCTATTTTTTCTATGCGTGGATGTGTGTATGTTCCAGTTAAACCTAAATGCAACGCAGTGGAGGTGTCCAACATTGAAGATGTCCGTGTGTTAACAGCATCCAGCACGTCGTAATCAAACTTTTGAATGAATATAGATAAATTTTTTAAATTAAGAGCGATTTTAGAATGTATGACTTTAGTTTATAATTTTATTTGTTATTTTTGCAATTTTTTCCTTCTTCCTGTACTTGTACTCATCTCCTTCTTCCCATTTCCTTCTACCTCATTCTCACTTGAGATATATCGTACATACTCTATTAGCACATATCTACTTTTCATACTGATATGCCCTTCTGAGATGCAATGTGTTATGTTTTGTTTGTTTTATATTTTGTTTTGTGCTCATGACTCCTAATGGTGGTATCTGTTCCAGAGACGGTACTTTCAACATGATTCGCGTATTGAGTAACCGTAAGAAGGGCCTTAGTAGAGTATGCCACATCAATGCCCAAAGCTTAACAAGGAAAATTGATGAATTTATGTATCTTTTTGAAAATTCGAATGTGGACGTGGTGTGTGTATCAGAGACCTGGTTTTCTCCGTGTCATAATGATCACTTATTTCACGTTAATGGGTATAGGCTCTTTCGCTTGGATAGAGTTTGTCATGGAGGAGGTGTGGCTATTTATGTAAGACACGGTCTCTCGTGCAAATTCAACTGTGCATCGCCACCTTCCAGCACCACTGAGTATCTATTTTTAGAAATCTTTACTAAATTTGACAAGGTACTTATTGGCTGTGTCTACAGACCCAACAGGCAGATCTGTTATAATGGGTTCATCGATTTTCTCGAGAATCTTACCACAACAAAATTATTATAACTGGTGACTTTAATAGTGATATACTTAAAGATACAAAATTTTCACTTCACATAAAAAATTTGGGACTCTGTTTTGTAAATCAAACAACACCTACGCACTTTACACGTACCTGCAGCACCTTACTGGACATTTTTGTCGTTAACGAGTTGTCTAGCGTACTTTTGTATGATCAACTTATAGCTCCAAACTTCTCGAAACATGACCTTATTTTTCTCACATTCGACTTTCGTTTTGTTAGCAACCAGTCTTCCTACTCCTACCGTAACTTTAACAATATTAACTACGAAAGACTTAATGAAAGTGTTAATTCAATCAACTGGGGATTTGTTCGCTACATGACATCTGCTAACGATCAAATTAATTTTATACAGACAAATATTAACACACTATTTGAGACATGTGTACCTCTAACTGCAAAACCAAGCAGGCATGGTAGTCGTCCATGGTTTAACAGCTATATAAGAAAATTAATTGATGATAGGAATAGTGCGTATCATACCTGGAAGAAATTGAAGTCCGACGTAGCCTATAATGAGTACAAGTCTATAAGAAGAAGAGTTACGAAGGCCATAAAAACCCAAAAGATGAAATATTATGAGCACCAATTCAGAACTGCAGTAAGCTCAAAGCAGACATGGAAACGTATTCGTGAAATTGGCATCGACAGTAAAATCTCTGTCTCTCCTGAATCTGTAAATGTTGATGAAGTAAATGCAAAGTTTGTTAATTCGTCTCGTCCTCGCAGTAATATATGTTATGATGGTTATAATGTTTGTCTTAATAACTTCTTGAGTGCGTTTTCTTTTCAATGTATAGATGAATGTGATGTTGTTGAGTCCATACTTTCTGTGAAATCCAACGCCGTTGGTCTTGACGGAATCCATCCTAAATTCATTAAGTGTATATTGCCATTCATTCTCCCATGCCTCACCTACGCTTTCAACACTATATTGACAACGTCCGTCTTTCCGTGCTGTTGGAAGAAGGCTAAAATTATCCCTCTATTGAAACCAAATGGTGACTTCAGACCAATTGCCATTTTGCCATTCCTTTCGAAGGTTCTGGAGCGAGTAATGCAGCGCCAAATAAACACCTTTGTGAGTAAAAATTCACTTATTAGTAGTCATCAATCTGGCTTCCGGGCGAACAGAAGCTGTATTACTGCTCTTTTGAAAGTCTCTGACGATATAAGGCAGAATATGGACAAAGACCATGTCACTTTTTTAACTTTACTTGATCACTCAAAGGCTTTTGACTCCGTTGACCACACATTACTTTGCTTAAAACTCGCCAACCTTTTTAATTTCTCTTCCCAAGCTGTAAGCCTGGTCAGATCTTATCTCCTAGGGAGGTCACAAGCGGTATGCGTTGGTAGCTCTGTGTCTAGCTTCTTGTCTGTTATTGAAGGTGTGCCGCAAGGCTCAATACTTGGACCGCTGTTGTTTGTCTTATATGTTAACGATCTACCGAAAATTCTACAACATTGTAAAGTGCATGTTTACGCAGATGACGTGCAATTATATCTTGATTGCCCACTAAAGTCAATTAATGCCTGCATACGTAATCTCAATGCAGATCTGTGTCGAGTAAATGGCTGGGCTACTGATAATGGCCTGCTATTGAATCCGAGCAAGTCCCAGTGCATTACAATTTACAAAAAACACTTTAAGCTAGACAATTATTCAAAAGTAACATTAGGCAATTCGGTAATAAATTTCGTTGATGCAGCCAAAAACCTGGGCGTGACTTTCAACAGAACATTGACATGGAAGAACCACATTTTTACAGTTATAGGCAAAGTGTATGGAATGTTGCGCTCCTTATGGACTACCCAGTACTTTACACCAATTAAAATTAGACTGCTTTTAGCCAAGACATATTTGCTTCCAACCATGCTCTATGGTTGCGAACTGTATGCTAATTGCGATACCACGTGCAACAGAAAGCTCAATGTCTAATTTAATAATATTGCGCGATATATTTTTGGTATTAAACGCAGAGATCACATCTCCGAACATGCTATAAAAATATATTCAATCTCCTTTAATAACTATTTTAAACTCAAGACTCTAACACAATTACATAAAATATTGGTAAACCAGGATCCTTCTTACCTCTACGAATGATTTCAAGCAACTCGATCAGCGCGTTCCTCGCAGTTGCTTTATACGACCTTTAATTCCAAAATATCTGAGCGTCATTTTTTTGTGTATGCAGTCCGTCTATGGAATACTTTACCTTTGGAGATCAGGGGCGAAAAAAGCACATTGCACTTCAGAAGGGAACTAATGCGATTCTTTACAGAATGATTATTCAAGAGTGTACATATATCATCTGTCAGTTACTACTTTATTCATCTCTGATCTTTCACAACCTTTTCCTTTTTATCAATTCAGTCATTTCTCCCTATTAAATACAGTATATTTTGCTTAGCTGCCCAATCTTGTTTGCACAAAAAATTTGGGTACTTATCCGAAAAATGCACTTAAGCGAATTTTCTTAACTACCTCAAAAAGGCAAATGGCACTTGTCACGTAGAAATTACTGCAATCGAAGTTTTATCAATCATCACGTTTATTAAAAAGAAAACGAAAAAACAATCCACTGCAAAAAACAATTCATAGATCGAAAAACCATACATAAAAAAAGTAACGTACAAAATATTATTATGTACCAACATAAAATGTAAAGCATATTTTTTATGTTTCCTTAAACTCACAAAATTAAAGATTACTTAAAATAATCAGTAACTTTTCTCTGGCTAGGGGTTTGTAGAGATAGCTGCAATAATTGCTTTTCAATGCTGTACAACATGTTTGCAGATTCAACACCTTTAAATGCACAAAAACGCTGAATAGTATCTAACGCGCAAAGCGCTTCTTTTAAACTTGGAACGTTATCAAGTTCAGCAAAATTATGATTTTCTTCAACGTCAGAATTACTGTTGCATTCATTTTCAGTATCAAGCAATTGTTGGATAATTTCGTCTTCCGTGAGCTCACCATAGCACTGCAATTCATCATCACAGTGCACGTATTCTGTGAAATTTGGCACTTGATCAAGAAATGTGACTTCCGTTTCCCCCTCTTCATCTTGGTCAGCTTCATTAGCCACATCGAAGCCGGCCTGAAAAGATTCATTTCGAGATTCATTAAATTTGTTGATCTCATGTATCTTTTTAATTTTTCACCTTTTGAAAGCAGTTTTGTATTGTTTGTGGCGTCACCAGCCACCAGGATCGCTTAATGTAGTATAGAGCATCCAAAATTGAAATTGATTTCAAATATTCTTTTACGGTAAACTCTCTCTCTATTGCAGCTAATTGCTTTTGCACTAGTATGTTTCTATACTGGCATTTGAATGCGTGAATAATTCCCTGATCGAGGGGCTGAATAAGCGCAGTTGTATTTGGAGGCAAAAATTCTATTTTAATATTTCGCAATTCACATGTAGTTTTGTGGCATGCCGCATTATCCGCAAATAAAATAATTTTTCTGTCTTTTTTCTTTTCGATTTCCCGATCTAAGGAAATCAAAATTTGGTTCCATAAATCAATAGTCATCCAGGCTTTCTGATTCGAGTAATATGGCAAAGGAATATTTACATTTCGAAAACATCGAGGTTGCTTAGACTTCCCAACAACATACGCTTTTTTGAAACTTCCCGTTGAATTGCATACTAACAACAAAGTGAGACGTGCCTTTTGACTTTTGTTACCTTTTGGTTCGTCACCCTTTTCAAAAAACGATGATGAAGGCAAAACTTTAAAAAATAGGCCTATCTCGTCGGCATTAAAGATATCTTCTGCATCATAACCTTTTAAAATATTTGGCAGAATGCTGCTTGTATAGCAGGAAGCACCTTCTAAGTCGTTGTCGTTAACTTCCCCTTGAATTCTACCGAATTTAATGTTGTGCCGCTTTCGCCATCTCCAAAGCCAACTCGAATAAGGTTCAAATTCATCATTTAATTTTGTTGCAAACTGCTTTGCCTTATTCAACAAGATCAGACTTGAAATCACTGCACCCTTTTCCCTATTTTGGTCAAACCAATGCTTAAGAGCTGCTTGAACTTTTTCGTGCACACCTTTTCGTTGCCGTTTGCGCTGTAGATTGCCATCTTTGGCAAGACACTTGATTTCAGCTGCATTTCGTAAAATTCTGTTGATTGTAGATATATCGCACTTATATTTTTTACAAAGATCTTTTTTGTTCGCATTTTTTGCAACTAATTCTATGATCTTAACTTTCTGCACAATAGATAAACCAATCAAATGTCTTCCCATCTTTAAACATACAAAATGTAAACACTTAGCGGTGTGCGTATGAGCACGTAAAGTCGATTGAAACACATGTGTAAATCGATGGGAAACATTATGGTTCGTTTAGATGCAGTGCAGGTAAATTGCATATTTTCTTTGAAAACTGATAATAATTGCACAATATTTAAAGCAGATATCGTGAATGTGCAGGTATGTAGAATGCAGCTAAGAGAGTAGTTTCCTTACAAATGTTAACAATAATGCCGCTGAAGCGTATTTTGGGGTGGTTATATTAAATGTGCAGCTAAGCGTAAAGACAGCAAAGCAAAATATATTGTATTTCCTTTCCCTGGCTTTATAATTTTTTAATGTTATTATTACCCTCTAGTTATGTAAGTCATTTATGTATTTGCGTATAAAATAACGTTCCTATCAACAGGTCATTAAATATTTTTCCATTCGGTTAAATGTTATATATTAATTAAGTAGCAAACACTCGAAATATAACTCATGGTTGTTGTATTACAATAAAATAAATAAAAATAAAATAAAATGAATGTTAATAACATAACAAAGGTGGTTAAAAGTGGTTAACGCCATGGTGGGCAATGAAGGCATTTTTGGTCCAACAGTCGAACAATCCAGCCTTCATGACAATACCTCTGGCAACGGAGAGGGGCTGATCGACTTTTCTGCGGCACGGAACATGGTAGTTATTAGTATTAGACACCAGCATCGAAACATCCATAAAGCCACTTGGGTGTCCCCTGATCAAAGAACGAGGAACCAAAAAGAGCATGCTGTGATAGACGGAATATATACTTCGAGCGTTCTAGATCTGTGTTCTATCCGAGGAGCTAATATCGACTCGGATCACCACCTTGTTGCAGCCAAGGTCCGCATGCGCCTATATGCAATGACGTCGAGAAGCTGCATTCACAAGCCGAGAAATTTCGCAATCGACTCTCAATCCTGCTTAAACAAGAAACTCTTCAACGACCGGATATAAATGAGCAATGGGAATCCATCTCCCAAACACTTCGTGCCGCTGTGGAAGAGGTAGTCGGATGCTAATGCCCGCGCAGGAGCTACTAGTATGACGAAGAGTGCCGCGTGGCTGTCGCAGAAAAATACGCAGCACACAAAGCCACCCTACAGCCAATAGCTACGCGAGCTACAGTTGAACGATACCGGGGGATGAGGAGGGAGGAGAGACGTCTATTCAAAATAAAGATAGCATGAACAGAAGCTGTTCTTTTACGGAGAATGTCTGGCATCACTGATCTGACTGGGTACCAGGGATGAAAAATGGAAATTTAAGATTGTACCTAATATCACAAAATAATGTACCTAAATGAGACCTATTGTACCTAAACAAAAGTTTATTTTTGTTTAAAAATTTTATTTAAAATATGAATATAAAAGATAGATGTTCTTTAAACATGATGAAACATGGTTTTTTAACTGAGCCCATATCGATAGACTATAGTCTAATGGGAATCGGAGAAGCATTGTTTTGTACTGAAAAATATTGGCGAAAAAGACAAAAAGCACACTTTGCGAAGTATACTTCTTTACCCAGATTTTTATAAAACAACAGAAAGTCTGCTAATTTATCCGATTACTTTTAATAGGTGCAGCAAGTCTAGAGAAGATAATCAAATTGCCGAGTATAGGTCAAAAAGCGAGTATAGGTTAAATAGCTGTAGTTCTCATCTAAAAATATGAAAATATGAAATATGACACTGGACTGTATGGGCGAATAAAGGCCGGTTTTCACAATGTCATATTTTGACAACAAAATTTGTCGATATATTTTTACATAACTTTCTTTCCTTTATCCCTACCTTTATCGATGATATTATGGGCCAAAAACTTACAAATAGCCGCTTTAGCAGCGCATGTACACGCCTTAATGCCTATTCTGATCTAAATCAAACCAAAGGCCATTTTTAGTCCCATTTTACAATTTGTTTTCACTCATTTGACCGCAAATGCCAGTGAATTTGATGCCACTGAATAAAAACGCCACTTTAAATAAAAAAGCAGGTTTCAAACCCGTTTATTATTATTTATTTCATGGTAGGAGAGCTTCTCAAACAATATAGAAGCAATTTTTTCGATTCAAGTTGTTGAAAAGTATTGAATATCTCAATACCGGGACTAATCCCGGGATCCCGGGATTGTGACCACGCCATCCCGAAAATCCCGGGATCGGAAAAAGCCGAAAAATTAACATCCCTAATCTGATCAAAAGATAATTGTACCTAAAATCTAGTGACTGTACGTAATGTACCTTTAAGTCATCAAACGTAGGAAAAAGGTACAATTGTACCTACTTTTTCATCCTTGCTGGGTACGCTAGCGCTCGATTTGCAGAATCCGTATGAACTGTTTGCTGACTGGCTGTCATTGCTTCTTCTACTTGGCTTTTGTTATTGTCGCACAATCAATTTGCGAAGTAAACTTGCCGACAGTGTTGACAGGAGTACAAAAATAAAAAGAGGTTTGTATAGTAAATTCTCCAGTAAAACATTGCAGCGACAGCGTAAAAGCAAAATAGAGCGTAAAATTGAGAAGAAGAGAAAACTAACAGAAAAAGTGAAACAGCTGTTGCACTGTTTTGACATTCTGCTGTAAACATTTTACTATTTATAAATAATTTTTAAACACTTTTCTTTACACACACGCACTTACACAGTCCAGTATATCATTAATATTTTGATTTCCACTCATTTTACTTTTGTTTGTGCTAAACCAGTTAAAAAATAGCGGCTTTTGACATTTATTCTTCTTCTTCTTCTGCTAGCTAATTTCTGCAAGTAAAAATTTCACTAGCAAGAATTTGCAACTCTCCCGTGCTATTACGCTCTCGATTCAGTGCTCTCTAGCAAATTTTTTGGGTTATCATACACTTTTCCAGTAAAAATTTGCAGGTTCCAGTACAAATTAGTACTGACTATTGGTTACTATACAAACCTAATGCTACATCGGCCGAATAAAAAAGCTAATGAAATTTAAATGGCCAAAAAAGGTTAAAAAAAGCCATTTCAACAGTTTTCATTTCATTAACTCTTATGTACAAGGAGGTGGTACACATGTACCACCGAGCAACAAAGATATAAATATCTGGACTGCCAAAGTACTTACGATCATGAAATTTCATGAAAGCCTTGTGCAAACATTTTTGAACACCATACCGTTTAATAAAACCTTTTTTATAATAAAGGAGACTCTTTTTTAGGGTCTGAAAACCCATGGTCCTTAAAGGCAAAGTATCTTCATACATTACAATAGGATTAAACTCGTGAATGTTTCAATTGGAGCGCGCATAGTGAAGAGCAGACATGGGCACTTTTTCCCGTATGGGCTTTTCTGCCCGTACGTGCAAGCGAGCCCATTTCGTGGGCTTGATCAGGGGAAAATCATGGGCAAATATGAAGGGGGCAATGAATCTTACTAAGACATCAGTGTACTTTATCTGATACGAATACGAAATTTATCGAAATCAAACATTTAATAAGTAAATGTGAGCAATCTAAGTTGAAGGCGGCTGATGTAAAACAAGTTTTGGAGCAACTGATTAACAACAAATGTACGCAAATAAAAACGAGTATTGTTTCAGACTTTAATACATTTCTGGAACATAACATTGGAGTGAGAATTAATGCTATGAAAAATGAAATCATTAAGGAAATTTCTAGTGAACTGCAAAAATGTAATGACTTGGTAAAACACATTCAGCCAGTAATTAGTAAAGAAAATGCCGCAATATCATATGCCCAAGCTGTCAAAACAAATGAAAATAAAATTGTTATAAAGCCCTTAAACAAAAACAAAAACGTTAAGGAAACAAAAGAGGCGCTGAAAAAGGTAATCGAACCCATCGACGGTCTTGTTAAGACTGTGAAAGAAATTAATAGAGGGGGAATAGTTTTAGAATGTAAAAATAAATATACTTGCGAAAAAGTGCATCAAAAAATAAGAGATAGTATTGGGACGGAGTTCCTGGCCCAGAAAGCTAAAGGAAAAGAGGAAATAAAAAAGATACTGAAAATCGTTGGGTTAACCGAAAAAATAAATAATGATCGCATAAGAGAATGTCTAACTAAGCAAAATGATGAGTTCTTGGGAAAGGAGTTGAAAGTACTGAAAGTATACGAAAATAGAACGCGAAGAGAAGAAAGCTTCAACATTCTAGTTGAAACAGATGCTTTAACCTATGAAAGTGTCTTGAAACGTAGAAAAGTAAATATCGAATGGGACACTTGCATGGTATTTGAGCATCTAAATATTATGAGATGCTTTAAATGTTTGGGTTATAAGCACAAGTCAAGTGATTGTACAAATAAAAAGGCATGTAGTAGATGTGCTGGAAATCACGATGTTAAGGATTGCGGCTCTGATATAATAATACACACCTTATATATATTGTTGTGAACTTGTTCAGAAAAAAGTAATAGATGTTAATGTAAATCACTCAGCATTCAGTTTGGATTGCCCTGCATACCAAAAATACGTTCAAGCCAAAAGCAAAACTAAAGTTTAGCAACGAAGTATTCATGAACTGAATATCATTTATTTAAACA